GTCCATCAATCCCTCTCTCCCCTCCTCCAAGACAAACGAGTCCATTATTTCAGGTTTCCTCAAAGGTCAGAAAGTGGTATTTTAAGTGCATCAAAGCTATTCTTGCAGCCTTGTCAGCCACAGATGTTCCTCTTCTGTGTCCAATAACTACTCGTTGTTGTGTTCAGAGTCTGCTCAGCTGTACCATGCAGATGCTAGTCATCAAGGACAGATACTCTGTCTACCAGAGACATCTCTCAGAGCGCACAGCAGCTTTAACTGTAAGCTGACAACGAGCTCTGGCTTGAGCTGCTACAGGAAACAATTCATGTAATTTCTATTTTAAAATAAATAATAACAAATCCTCTCGTTTTTTAAAATTTACTTGGCGTTATATGGCATACAGTAGCCATACTGATGACATTGGCAGGCTTTTTTGCAAGTAATTGGTCATTTTACCAATGATCTGATATAAACTGGTTCCACTTTCTGTATTTTTAATGTTTTATGTATAATCAAAACGTTCGTAAAAAAAAAAAAATAGTACAAAGGAGAGATATTTCATCTCTTGTACTCAATAATGGGTGATACAATGATCTACTTAACCCACTGCTGTTTCTCTTAAAAGTCACCAAAAGCAGTCAATTATAGAGTACCATAAGAACAGAGTAAGCACACAGGGGTTCTTCCTACTGCTGACCCCCAATTTAGCTGTCTCCTGGCACACAGTTGATATATCACAAGTGGTTAGAAGCACATACAGCATACGGCACATTTATTTTCTGCTATTATTTCTCACTGCTTTCTGGAACTACACACATGCCTAGTATTTACTGTATACAGTGCCAGAGTTCTGGATTTTACACAATGTTAAGTACCTCCTTTTGCTTTAAGCACACCATGTAATAAAACTGGCATCTTTGATTTCTCATGTTATTATTTTCCTTTCCGCAATCAGTTGCAGTTCTGAAAGCATATGATGGCAAAAATAGGAAAGAGGGAGGGTTTTTTTTCTCTTTTTTACACAATGTTGGGTACCTCCTTTTGCTTTAAGCACACCACGTAATAAAACTGGCATCTTTGATTTCTCATGTTATTATTTTCCTTTCCGCAATCAGTTGCAGTTCTGAAAGCATGTAATGGCAAAAATAGGAGAGAGGGAGTGTTTTTTTTCTCTTTTTTGGAACAACACATAGATTTCTGCGTACAAAGCCCTTCGGACTACACATGAAGAGCCCATACCCATCTTCACCGCTTCCATGTTCAGAAAGGTCATCAAGGGCAAGGGATTCCAGCTGCCTCATACCCCTAAAGAATAAGAACTCTGCCTGTGCAGTATAAGACACACTCCAGCCTGCAACAGGGACATCTCCGAGGACGACACGGCCTACACATCCCCTCCAGCCACTGTGGGGCAGGGACAGGACACATGCACGGCTGTCTCGCCCTCCCCAACACGCAGCTTTCAGGGGAAACACACGTGACTTCTGCCCACTAGGGCTGAGGACGAGGAGGAAGGTCCAGGCCGCTGAGGAATCAAGCCCAACAGAGCCACAGTACCTACAGACACCTAACCCTCTACACGCCCCACTAGAGAAGACCCAAAACAACCCCCATCTCCCCCCACACTGTTACAAGACACCCTACTAGATCATCACCCTGCGCATGCGCACCACGAGGCCTCCCTCAGCGCCTGCGCACTAGGGCACTGCACCCCCCCAGCCCCCTCCCTCAGCCGCTGAGGCCCAGGCCCTTGAGGGGTGGCGGGGATTAAAGCGATCAGAGTCCTACCTCGGTGTTCCGCCACACACCGCCTTTAATCATAATCCGCGGCATCTTGGCGGCGAAGGGGTTCGGACAGTCCGGCAGAGAAAAAGCGGTGAAGGGAAAAAGACGCCGCTCGCCTCAGCGGGGCCGGCCCAGACGACGCGCAGGCGCCCTCCGCGCTCAGAGCGCTCTGTCTGCGCATGCGCAAAGCAGCCGCGCCCCCGGGCCCTGTGCGCATGCGCGGGGGCGAGGCCGCTCTGCGCATAAGGAAACGGCGTGGCTGCTGTGCGCATGCGCCGCCCCGAGCAGCGCGCTTGGAACCTAGCGCCCCCTGTCGGGCGGAGGTGCGCAGGGCGGAGGGGCCGTGGCCTGCTCTTGAAACGATTAAATTCATTAAATTCCGTCCAATTCCCCAACGGACACAAACGGGGATGGAAGGGAACGGCAGAAGAAAATGGGATTTCGCCCATGGTACGTTTACAGCGTGTTTTGTTAAACTGAATAAAAAACCCGCACATTTACTGCAGCCCCCATGGAAATTGAGGTATTAGCACTTAGTAACATATAATAAATAAAAACTGTCGTATTTCCTTCTTTCTGTCATAGGTAGATCAGGTTAAGCATATTGCAGCACGGTTTGATTCACTTATGTTCATTTACTACATCCTGTGTTTAACTTTGATTCACATATTTAGTAGATGCCTCACCGATAAAATGCCTATTTGCTCAAGTCGTGTGCCATTAGTGTGATTTCCTATTATATTTTACTGTTTTGTCCCAATTCAAGCGGCATTCATAAAGAAAATTAAGCCACTTTTGGGGGTTGAAATACAAAATTTTATAGTATGATTTAGAAAAGGCTTCGCTTTTCGTTAAAAACTGCAAGACTAAAAAGTATGACACTTTCAGACAGAAAAAAAAAAAAAAGATAAATATCAAGACCAGCCCATATCCTTATTTTAAAACATAAAATTTTACATTTAAATTCCTCTGACTTGGCAGACTGAGAATCACTTCCAGTCCTGAAAAGTGCAGTGCATATAATGAGGAACAGAGCAGAACCTCATCAGTTGTGAAACACTTTATTTGGTTTTTTTATTACAGGGAACCACCTGCAATAGCTGTTTTAACAACAGAAGACATTTTTTAGATGGAGCTTGATGAGTTTGTACTTACATCTATAAGAAACTCAGGCTGTTTACAAACTCTTTTCAAAATTTCATTCAATGAAATTATCCTCCTTAAACAGGGCTCCCTTCGTCATTGTACACCCTACTTTTGAACAATTATTCTCCATCAGATTTAGCTTTCCTAGTGTCATCTGATATATAGGCTTACAATTCTCTTCACCATTTTTGTTTCCTCTTTTTAACTGTTCTTTTGAATTATTCTTCAAATAATTTATCAGAATTGTACAGTAATGCAGGTTAAAAATCCTTCATGCATACAAAACAGTGTTAATATTTCCCAGAAATGCTTTTCTTTAATCATATCAGGACAACACTCTTCTTCCTCACAACTGTATCGGGTGGTTAGGTCAATCATTCTAAAATCCAAATCACTCATTCTGAAATGGTGACTTCACAGCTTGTAGCAAAAACCTCCGTAACCACCAGGGTTCATAATCACAGATATTTACTTGTCTGATTATACTGCAACTACAAAGATCTACATCTATTAATAAGTTTCAATCCACTCTTGGAAAATTGCATTTCAAATCACCGAATGGCTGCAGGACCTCCGGAGGTCATCTGGCCCAACTCCCTGCAGGGGGGAGCAGGGGCGCCCAACCTCAGAGCTGGTTGCCCAGGACCACGTCCAGATGGCTTTTGAATATCTCCAAAGAGGTATCTCCAAAGAGACTCTACCACCTCTCTGGGCAACCTTTTCCAACCTGTGCTCTACATTACTGAAAGCCTCTGTAAGATATTATCTCTATTTATAAAGAAAAGCATACATTTGAGAGCAGTAAAAAAGCAGTGCTGGGTTCATGTTCACATTCTCTAAATTAAGCTATAGGTTTACTCTGCTGTGTCATGGACTGAACTGTAACATCAGGGGACAGTAAGCACCAGTCCTTCACCACTGTCTTTCCTCACACAAGAGGGTAACACTGCTGTTATCAATACCACTGAACAGACTACAGCCAGTGATGTCCACACAGCGTTTCGAGCACCCTACAACTCTATAAAAGATTTGTCTAGATTTGAATATAAAGTAGAAGAAGCATCTGTCTGTCTTCACCACACCAGGTTACAACTGCTGTTTGGCACAAGTGGTCCTTATACATGGTATTTTAGATGCACAGTAAAGCTCTTTAACAAAATAAATTTTACAGTTCAAGATACCGCTAAGGTTCTCAACGAAACTAAGTATTTGCAATGGGTCAGCAAGCAGTTAAATTAACAGAGAAGTTATTTGAAAGGATGGTATTGTCTATTTTAAGAAACAAAGAACACAGCAACTACTAGCCTGAGAAAAGATAAGGCATTTCATACTAGATTAACATTAGACTTCACATAAAATTAATGAAATTTAATTTAAGGATTCTCAGTAACACAAAATATCTGATTAAGGACAATACCGTTTCTGTCAGACTACTCAAAGAATTATCAAAAGTACAGACAGAACTACCCAAGAAATCCTTTATATATATGCATATACAGAAAATATTTTCATATGCCAATTATCCAGTGATGAAATCAATCTTTTGTTTCTGTAATTTTGTGAGATACATTTTTTTTTTCTCTTGCAACTGTTGCAAGAGAACCTGGGAGTAGGAAATGCAACTTTCAGCAGATGAGAAGTAGCATTAAGCCTCCAAACAAAGTAACAATTTTTAAATAAAAAGTTATTACTATACAATACAATGTGCACTTCCTTCCCTCCCTTTAAACATTCTTTCAGTTAGACAATTTTTTTTATTAATTTTTTTGTAAAAAAAAAATAAGTAGCACAGAATAACTAAACTAATGAACTTTAGCCAAATCATAACTGATCTCATGGTATTAAGAAGTTACTTGGGTATGAAAAAGTGCCTTCAAGATCTTTGTTAGCACAGCCTGTGCTAGAACTGAAGCTCTCAGAAGAATCTGAAGCAAACCAGTATCCCGAGTCTCACTCTCTGGACCAAAACGCTGGATGCATCCATTACCAGCCATCGTTCTGGGGACAGAAGGGGAATGTAAAGCAACGAACAAATTCAGGACATGCAAACCTCTCCAGAACTGAGTACCAACTTGCAATTCCCAAGCTCATGTTCCAAGCTTATGTTGTTGCTTATGCTTTTCCAGAAGTTTTTTTGTAGGCAGCATCACATTGCACTTTCCACACTTGTACTTTTTTGTGTGTGTCTTCATATGCTTTTGGAAAGCACATTTATCTAGCGTGGAAAATTTACACCTTCTGCAGCGCAACTTTAAATGAATCTGCAAGTGGCGCTTCAGGTGGCTTGATGTGCGGAAAGCCACAGCACACTGATCACACTTGAATGGCTTCTCCCCTGTATGGATTCTCAAGTGTGGCTTCAAGTTGCCGTTGTGGGCTGTAAAATAGCCACACTCTTCACACGTGTATGTTTTGAAAGGCAGCTGCTTTTGTTCATAGAGCGAGCCAGCAGATGAGCTTTCCTCACAGGAGTGTGAAGCCAGGTGCTGTTTCAAGGACACCCATTTGCTCGTTGAATAGTCACAGCTCCTGCACTTGAGATGCTCCATATTTAAATGCGTGACACTGTGTCTTTTCAGGTGACTGGAAGTACGAAACTTCTTCTGGCAAACACTGCAGCTGTATGGCTTCTCACCTGTGTGAGTTCTTACATGTAGTTCAAGGTTGCTCAAAATATACGTAGCATACTCGCACTCTGCACACTGATAGCATCGTGGCTGACTTTGTGCTAGCAAATCATTTTCTTTGCCTCTCTGGACATCTGGCTGTACTCCACAGACATTTGAAACAAGCAAGGAATGGACACCGTTTGAACCCTCTGAGGAACCCAAATCTCTTTCTGGATACATACTTACATGCATTTCATGATGCAATTCAAGATTCTCTAAATGGCTATCTACATAAAAGCAATGGCCAAACTCATATCTGTTCTTTACATGAACAAGGCTGTGCTTCTGCAAATGGCTTGATGTTTTAAATGTCTTACTGCATTCTTTACACACAAATGGTCTTTCATCTGTATGTATTTTTAAGTGCAACTTGAAGTCTCTATGAACAGCAGTAGCATAATTGCAGCATTGGCACTTGTACAGTTTGGATGTAGACAAATTGGAGGGCCATGTATTCCTTGTGTTTTCCACAAATCTATGATACGCATCATCATCTTGAACTTGTGAATGAGAGGCCCTGGAGGTGAAGAGTGGCTCCTCTTTGCAAACGACAGAATTCAGAGGAACTTCTGATCTATTCCTAATAACAGGTAAGCTGTTGCTTCCATGGCTGTTTCCAGGGTACTTCTTTCCAGAGCACATTTTCTTACTGTCTCGCACATAACCTGCCCGCTTACAGTCCAATTCTGAAGCCAGCACTCCCCCACTGAGACAATCATTTTCTTTAGCAGAAAGAGACAGAGAAACGTGGTCCTGGGAATCACTGTCAACTTTGCATACTTTGCTTTTATGATATTCATCGCTCTGATTCATATAACCATTAGCAGTAGCTTTAAACTGTTCATGAAATTTCTTATGAAAGCTGAGAAGTCCTCTAGTGTAAAACACTACGTTACACTCATCACATGTATAATTCTTTAAAGGTCTTCGAGTCCTTTTTCTTCCACTTAAGAAGTCGAGTTGCTGCCCTTGGCATGTTTCTTTGCCCGCATGTAATCTTCTGTGTCTCTTTAACCCTGCGATGCTTGTGAATGCTGACTGGCAGAACTCACAGGAATATGGTTTAGCCGCTGTGTGTATGTAGCTATGCCTTACCATGCTTCCAAAATATAAAGAAAAAAAGGTGCAAAATCTGCACTGGTAGAGCTTATACCCAGCATGCCAGTACATGTGATTTAACAAATGGGATAAGCTAACGCTGGAGTAATCACATTGAGGACACTGGTAAGGTGGTCTCTCTTTATGTCCCTTCACGTGACGAATAAAAATCCTAGGATTTGATGAAGCAAAGAAACAAATTTTGCAGGAAAAACTAACTGGCACACCCAGAGGTGTAAAGTCCCTTTCCATTTTGATGAAAAATTTCTCATATTTACTTTCTTTTTTCTTGGTCTCAGATTTTCTTTCTTCACATCTTCTCTGCCTAACTTTTCTCGCATTCATTCTTTTTTTTCTTGCTTTTTGCAACTTACTCATTTTCTTATGAAATTTAAGGTGATTCTTAAGGTTGACAGAAAAGAAAAAGGTTCTTTTACAAAAGCAGCATTTATATATTTTCTTATCTTTATGAGCTGAATAAACATGTTTCTTTAGATGTGCACTGCATTTATATACAGAACTACAAAACCTGCACTTCAAATTCAACCTTTCATGCCTATTTATAGAACAAGATGCTTTAGAAAGAGGTTTGATGGTCACACTATTACTTAGCCATGCTAAACCTTCCTGCTGGCTTTGCAATTCGTTTGGGCTTGTATGAGGAGAAACAACTTTTTGTTGCCGATGTCTTTTTTTAGGAAATGGAGTTAATGTCTTAAAAATATGCTCTCCAGCAGTATTTGATTCAGCAGAAGTGGAAGCATTCATCTCCAGTTTCCCTGCATCATTTAGCAATTCTTCTGAAGTAGAACATCCGTTAAAAAACAGAGCAGAACAATTATAGGTAAATTTTGGTTCTTCTTTCAAGCCATGTTCCAAAAGAGAACTCATAGTTTCATCTTGAAATTCACTTCTCTTTCTATTATTAGCTTCATCGTCCCCATTCTTTGAAGAATCGGGATCTACAGGGGGATACAAAGTCACATGCATGACATTTCATACAATCATCAATGTTATCGACTAATTGGTAGTAATAACACCAAATAGCCTAACAACTTGCTTGTTCTTCACTCCTTTTGCTTCCTTAATATTTTCCTGCCTCCACTTCTTTCCTAATGTCTCTCTCCATGCTTTCCCCCCTCAATATTTAAATAATGTTTCAAGAGAAGAAATCCTAGTTAGGACCCTCCCTCTTTCCACTCCAAGCTCTGAATTTCATAGGACAACACTGCATTCCCTAGTTTTTAATGAAACAGCTTTATGCCACAGCTCCTATGAAAGTACCAAACTTTGCTATGGCTCCATTCTCACAAGTATGATGCTCCTGCTTTTTTTTATTTATTTTATTTTACTTTCAGAAGGGCCATACTTATGCAAATTGAAGCAGAATTGAACAGTACCAACTTATTGTAGCTCCACGTCTTTTCACAGGAGTCTGTGAAAGAACTAAGCATATTCCAACCAATATTCTCTTTTTGCTTTACATTCATCTAAGTTGAAATACTTATTTTGAAACAAATGGGTTTGGCATTCTTCCCATACACTTTCCTACCTATTTCAATAACTTGAGGTATTTACCAGATTTCTTAAACTCTTGCACTAGTCTTATTAACAACTTACCTTCCGTTTCAACAATTGTCTCCATCTCCTTGTGGATTTCTGGTTGCTCACTTTGAGTCTCATCAGAAAGAACATTTGCACCATTGACAAGTTCCTCTTCACATTTGGATATCGCTGCCAATGTCAGCTGCCCACTTGTCTCAATGGTCTCATCTTCACCCTCATTGCCAGTGCAGGAGAGAGGAGGATTCTTCTGAAAACCATCATCACCATCACGTTCTTTTCTGTCACTGCTTTCATTTATCTCTGTAAGCTCTGTTTTGCAAAGTGGTGTAGGCAACACATAATTTTGACTACGTTTATCCGTGCCAGTATCACACTGATCACTTAAAGATAATTCTGACAGGTTACACACACTCTCAGCTACACATTCTTCTTCAAAGCATTTCATACTATTATCCTTATCTGTGGCAGTCTTGTTTTCTTCACCAATGCTGTCACCGTCATTTGAAGGTATCACACTGCCTTTTAGGAAACCGCTATTGTTTAAGTCGCCCTCCGGCTCTCCCCCCTCCTTCCACCGGGGAACCGAGGCCGCTCGCTCCTCGGCGTCATCCTGGAGAAAATCATCATCGCTCACCACGAGGACGGTGATGGGGAGAACGATTTCAAAGACGTCCGGCTCTGCGGACACCAAAAAACAGCGCATTAATACTATTTCCAAAACACCTGAGACACCCGCGGCCCGCCGAGGCGCGAGGCCCAGTGCGCATGCGCAAGCCCCCGTCGCCCGCGCACGGGAAGGGAACGGGACACACACCCACACCCCCCTGTCGTCTCTCGCTCCCCTCAGCCCCCGCCCGCCCGGAGCCCCGCTGCCTCCCTACCAGGGAAACGGCCTCCTCCCGCTGTCATCCGCTGGTTCTGGCCTCTCCCTCCCCACCGACATCTCCCGCCTCAGCCCGCCTGTCTCCGCGCTGGCATTAAACGCCGCCCGGCCCCGCCGCACCGCGCATGCGCCGGCCAGCCGCGCGTGCGCAGAGGAGCGAGAGGAGGGCGTTGCCCCTCGCGCCGCTTCCCAGTGGCCAGAGGCAGAGTAGACGGAGGGGCGGGGGGGCTGTGCGCGCGGCTGCCGCCTCCTGATTGGCGGGAGCGGCGGGGGGGCGTGGCCTGAGGGGTGGGCTGTCCCCTTCCCTGAGGTAACTGCGCGCGGCCTGGTCGTTTTGGTCTTCAGATGAGTTTAATCACCCGTTATCTGGAGCCGCGGGCAGGGAGGGGTTTTCAAAAGCTCTGCAAAATCTATTCCTGTTGTAAGCGAAACAGAAAGATAAGGTAGCCCATCAGCCGGGGGGCGGGGAGGGGCAGGATCGTTGCTTCCTCACACAGGAATTCGAGAGAGGCTTGTGGTGGGCGGGCCGTGGAAACCCGTGTTTTCTTCGGCCCCGCTGCTGGGGAGGGGAGCTGGAGGTATGAGAGAATGCAGGGGAGGGGAGAGGCTGGTGCAGAGCGGGCCTGAGGACGTTTGCTTGGTGAGGAAAGGGAGCTGCAAGGTCTCCAGTTTACCCAGACTGCTGTTCCCACGAATATGGTGGATAATCACTCAGAGATGGCTTCAGGGTTGAACTTCTGAGTGTGTTGGTGAAGGTCTGAGCTTGGAAATGGGTGTTCTGCTTTCCTGAAGGACATACGGAAGGAGGGGTTTCTTGATCAGTGAACATTTCTCAGGGCTTAAAGACTGCTGTGCCCCACTCACTCCTTAGTGCTAGGTCTTTGCCAATTCAGCTTATAAACTGAGGAAAAATGAAGTCATTGTGTCATTAGGCCCAAAGGGTTTCACAGAAAGTGGAATAAATTACTGTACTGGGTCTGGCTGCAATAGAGTTGATTTTCTTCATAGCAGCCAGTACGGTGCTGTGTTTTGTATTTGTGACCCAAACAGGGTTGATAATGTGCCAGTATTTTGGCCAAACAGTGCTTGCACAACACCAGCGCCTTCACTGGTTCTCCCTTTGAACCCCATGGAGCAGGCTGGGGGTGGCAGGAGGTTGGGAGGGGACACTGCTGGAACAGCTGACCCCAACTCCCCGAAGGAGTTCCATCCAAATGACCAGCAGGGTCATCCTATACCTTGTGTCTTATTAACACTGTTTAGTTACAAATCTGACACACAGCACCGTGTGAGCTGCTGTGAGGAAAGTTAACTCCATCCCAGCCTGCGCATGTGCTGATGGCCATCTTGCAGAGTGACAGGAGATTTTGGTCCTTTTTTACTGCTCGACTGCCCATTCTCTGGGGCTGTTGAGAGAAAAGGTAGCAAAGGGAGGTAAACTGAGCTAAAAAGTTAAGGAGTAATAAGAGTAACATTGGTCATATTTGCCTTGAAGAGATTGTTCTCAACTGGTCTGATGAGCTCTCAGGTGCTGCCAAAAACACGCAGTCCCTTATAATGAGGTAAGGACACACCGAATCCCTCATGCAAAGGCTTGAGAGAAAAGTGTTAGGATTTGCTGAATCCAGTAATGGGACGCAGCTGCAGCTCCATTTCCCAATCCAGCTGGTAGCAAGGCTGAGCATGTACTCCTAATGGGCACAGAAGAAAGAGTAAGAATGCACTTATATGCACAAGAAATCTCAATAATAGTAATAATAATGCAGTTAAAACTGTAACACGTGAACTCCTTTGTTTGCATAACTTTTTTTTTTGGCATTAGGCTCACTCTTTCATTGCTTCTCTGGATATTGAAGTCAGAAGTTTTAGACTGTGAAGAGAATAACACCTGAATTGTCATCTTTGAGTCTTCCTCGGGAAGAATAGGATGTTGATGTTGCTGGTTTATTCTTCCTGCAGTAGTGGACATTGACATTCAGCCCCCATACTTAGCAGTCCATAAGCTGTGAGTGACAGTATCTGTCCTTAATTCATGGCAATTCCCCAATTCATTAAGGCAAGTACCCACCTTGTGGTCCATAGACTGGAAATGTGCCTGTTTGGTACTTCTCCTGACACTGTACTTTAAGGGTCCTTGTTTTGCCTGAACTGTGATGGGACTGTCTCCTAAGGTCCGTACTGGTGTCACACACTTTTTCACACAGAATGAATTGTTTTTCAGTGTTAGTGAGGTCATTGGATCCATATGCAATAGCTTGTGGCTTTTTTCCCCTCTTTTTATGATACCGTGTCTCCCTACATCTAGAGTGGCTGCAAACTGCAAGTGAAATGGTTATACTGGATCAGGAAATTGTGATGCAGGTGCCTTTGCTGACTTGATTTTCAAAGCTGGTAGGGCTTAGTCCTGATCTGGTTGAGATTCTGTTGTGGTTTAGGCATTGTCTGCACAATATGCTAGTCCTGATCTGGTTGAGATTCTGTCGTGGTTTAGGCATTGTCTGCACAATATGCTGTCAATTTCAGTAGTTAATAGTCCTAGCTAAGAAGCAAAATTACTGAACAAAATTGGTTCTGTTTTACCTTAAACCGGGACAGATTCCCAGTCCTGTTTTTTTCTTTAACAGTTCAGCTAAGGGCTTACAATTTCTGCAAATGTGGCTATAAAGTCTCTAGAAAAGTTTATGTTCCCAAAGTAGATGTTAACTCATGCAAATTTTTACGTGCAGGGAGCTTTCCTCTGAGCAAAGGACAGTTTGCTGTAACACCCACCCACAACCCCAGAATGAAATTACCTACCTTAAGAGGAGCAGGGAGAGGGTGAGCACACCACCAGGAAAAGGAGGGAAACTAAGTGTGTGTAAACCAATTTTAATTCATTAATATTCCCTTTTCTGAAAATTTAGATCTCAACTAGTAATGATTAGACTTTTAAGATTTGAATTATGCAAACAATAAGTTCTGTATTTGGCTCCTGCAGCGTTGCAGCGCTGATTGTGCCTGGCCATGGACCCACTAATGTGGACCCTGACCCTGACCAGTGGGCTGGCCTCAGGACTGCCGCAGCACCATGGACTTGCCCGTCTGTTGCTGGGCTATGCCTGACTCTGGCTATTCTCCTGCGCCTGATCCTGACTTGCTGACTTGTATTCCTAACCTGACCTTGGACCTGCCCCATCATGGTTGGTTTGGTGATTGAGCTCTTCATTGACCCAGGCAGCCTCCCCCAGAGCTGCCCTGCTCCCTCACGGGGGGCAGAGGCACAGACCCTGAGTGGCAAGGTCCTTGTCCTGCCAGCCCAGGGATCCCCTCTGCTCCCTGATCCTGAGGGAGAAGTCAGTCTGTCCGTCACCCTGACAATATTTTACCACCACCCCCACGCTGTGATCCCAGGTCTAACACTGCTAGAGGATTTCCAGTTCTCTTTTCACAGGTTCATACTCAGTCATGGTGCCTCCAGAAGAGGGTGGTGCATATAGCTATTCCGATGAGAGGAATTTCCTCTGTTCCCTATCTTCTTCCTTCCCCCCATAAAAAGCATGTAAGGACCTAATTACAGGCCTTACTTCAGTGCCTTGCTTCCTGACATTCTTGCAGCTGCACCCATTTATTTTTGTTATCAACAGGCAGGTGTTGTGTATATAGCTCACTTTAATACTGCTTTGGGTTGTATTAAAGTAAAAATGTAACATGTTTAACATACAGGAATATTTTATTAGATCTGATCAAAACAGGAATGGATATTAGACAAAGGCAAGGATAAGGTGTAACCTTATCTATCCAGTTGAAATTCAACCAAATCCCAGCTAACTTTGGCATGTAGCCAGTCACAGAATCACAGAATCCCAGAATGGTCAGGCTGGAGCTCATCCAGTCCAACCCCCCTGCCAGAGCAGGGTCACCTACAGCAGTTGCACAGGATGAAGTCCCGGTGGGTTTGGAATGTCTCCAGAGTGGGAGACTCCCCAACCTCTCTGGGCAGCCTGTGCCAGTGCTCTGACACCCTCAAGGTAAAAAAGTTCCTCCTCATTTTAAGATGCAACTTCCAATGTTCAAGTTTGTGCTCGTTACCTCATCGTTTACAGAAATTTGTTTTATATGCACAGAAATGTTAACAGCTGGAAAGCTAAAAGAGGATAGAGAAAGGCAATACCATCCATCCAAAGCTAAATATGTGGCCACTTCTAATTTTGTCTGCTGTACTTTTCTGCCTTCTGTGAACGCTAGCCAGGTGCATACTAGGCGGAGTGATTTTCCTGTACATACAGGTAAGTTGGTCGCCTTTATTCATAGAATCATGGAATAGTTTGGGTTGGAAGGAATGTTTAAAGGTCATCTAGTTCCAACCACCCTGCAATAAGCAGGGACATCTTCAACCAGATCAGGTTGCTCAGAGCCCCGTCCAACCTGACCTTGAATGTTTCCAGGGATGGGGCATCCATCACATCTCTGGGCAACCTGGGCCAGTATTTCACCACTCTCATTGTAAAAAATTCTTCTTTCTGTCTAGTCTGAATCTGCTCTCTTTTAGTTTAAAACTATTATTCCTGTCCTGTCACAACAGGCCCTGCTAAAAAGTCTGTCCCCATCTTCCCTGTAGGCCCCCTTTAGGTACTGGAAGGCCGCAATAAGATCTCCCTGGAGCCTTCTCTTCTCCAGGCTGAACAACCCCAACTCTCTCAGTCTGTCCTCATAGCAGAGGTGCTCCAGCCCTCTGATCGTCTTTGTGGCCCTCCTCTGGACCCACTTCAACAGGTACGTGTCCTTCTTATGTTGGGGGCTACAGAGCTGGATGCAGTACTCCAGGTGGGGTCTCACGAGAG